CCTGCCCCCCCCCCAACCGTCTTTCTGCTGAATTCGTGCTTATCTCCAAGTCATGATGACCGCCTAATAAAGAGACATTTCTTAAAGAATTTCTCAACATGCGAGTGCTTTATTAAATAAATGGAAGTGGTCGATATCTCTCCTCACAGTCCTTCATGACTCGGCTGTGGGAAACCGTCGACTTCCCTCTTGTGTTTCTGCTGAAATGTCGTACGAGGATGAGGATGAAGAGCAGATTGTGACACCGAGCATCACACACATCTGTAGCCGTGAAGGGGCTCCTCCCGTTACTGGACACAGACACACAAACTCGCTGCATTTCTCCCGTCAAGTCAAAGCGATTTCAGGCGAAAAACGTGCAAACGCTGCGGCGCGACGGCCTGCCAGCGCAGAAACGCTCCTCGTCGCCCCTGACGTCCTGCAGACAGCAGAACTCCAGCGGTACGATACGTCCTCGTGCTCATATTGTCACCGATACTGGAGACACGTCGCACTTTTAACAAACGGAATACGGCCATACGTGCATTTCTTACAACATCCCATCGCTGCACTGAATATAGTACATTATCGTGTAGGACAATTGTGACATTTCAACAAGGCAATTCAAAGTGCTTAACATAAAACCATTAAAAACATCCAAACATAGAAAACAAGCAAGATTTATAAACAGTTATGAACATTGATACATTGAAACATGACATAACAAGCAGAGAACTCGCTGTGAAGTCTGTACAAAACCATTTGTGTGTTTTTTGAAAGAATTTAAACGACGTTTTTGGAAGAAAACGTCCTGATAATTGATTGATCCATTTTGGGTTCGGGGGAGATTGTGATGGACACGTTTCTGTACATCAGGGAACTTTCCATGTACCTTTTATTCACCAATCCATTCAGGCCATGAACACTATTTGCACCAAGTGATCAAGGGACTAATAGAAAATATCGTCTTTAGTTTAAGCTCTTGGTACAACCAGTTAGAAACACTCATGCTTGACTTCGGCCTGAAGAGGATTCTTAATTATCCGTCTTTAAGATGCGATTAAGATGTAAATGACTTGGATCAACCCCGACAAGACTGAACTACTTCTCGTTCCCGGCAAAGATTCGCTTACCCAGGACCTGACAGTCAACTTTGGAAACTCCGTGCTAACGCCCACTTTGACCGCTAAGAACCTCGGCGTCACACTCGGCAGCCGACTCTCCCTGACTCCCAACATCACCGCGACAACGCGATCCTGTAGAGCAGGGGTCTCAAACTCAAATCAGCTGCAGGCCAGATGCAGCCCACTTCAACCGAACGCGGGCCAGACTAGCGTCCGAACGGCATGGTCGACAATAACACAAGTCAAGTCAAGTCAAGTCATTTTATTTTGTATAGCCCATTATCGCAAATTACAAATTTGCCTCAGAGGGCTTTACAGTCTGTACACATACAACATCCTCTGCCCCGAAACCCACCATCGGCACAGGAAAAAACTCCCCAAAAAATGAAAAAACCCTTACAAGAAGGAAAAAAGGGAAGAAACCTTAGGGAGAACGTCAGAGGAGGGATCCCACTCCCGGGATGGACAGACTACAATGGATGCCATGTGTACGGAATGAGCAATGTATAATACATGCAATTCCTATGACAGAAATGATAGTAATGAAGTAGTTGTGAGTAGTAAGCCTGGCGCACAGCAGGACCACTGCAGGGGCAACCACCATCAGATAGAACCACCATCCACAGAAGCCTGTGGGGAGGGAGAGCACAGAGATTTTAGGAGAGGGTAATGTCGGTTTATGAGTAAAGTAATATGATTAATATCTAAAATAATGATGATGATGATGATGATGGCAGCAGCAGGCGTCAGCATGGCCACGGTAGGTGTCAGGACCAGGGTCCCGAAGGAACCACGATCTTCGGAGACCTGATAGGGAAGAAAGCACAAAAAAAACTCCCGGAAAGAAGCTGAATTAGTCATGTGCATTAATAAAACGTGAATTATGGTAGAACAAGAGCGTGCAAGAGGAGCTTGGTGTGTCCTAAGAATTCCCCCGGCATTCTAAGCCTATAGCAGCTTAACTAAGGGCTGGTCCGGACTAACCTGAGCCAGCCCTAACTATAGGCAGAATCAAAGAGGAACGTTTTAAGTTTTACTTTAAAAGAGCTGACCGAATCTGCCCCCCGGACTGAAAGTGGAACCTGGTTCCACAAAAGAGGAGCTTGATAACTGAAGGCTCTGGCCCCCAGCCTACTTTTTAAAACCATAGGAACAACAAGTAACCCAGCATCTATGGAGCGCAGTTGCCTTGTAGGGCGATACGGTGTTACAAGCTCTTGAAGATACAACGGTGCCTCACCAGCAAGTGCCTTGTAGGTGAGAAGTACCTTAAAATCTATTCTTGATTTAACAGGGAGCCAGTGCAGAGAAGTTAATACAGGAGTGATATGATCCCTTTTCTTAGTTCTTGTTAATACACGTGCTGCAGCATTCTGAATCAACTGGAGAGGCTTAAGAGATTTACAAGAGCAGCCTGATAACAAAGAGTTACAGTAGTCAAGTCTGGAAGTGACAAACGCATGAACTAATTTTTCTGCATCACTTTGAGACAGGAAGTTCCTGATTTTTGATATGTTACGTAGATGAAAATAGGCTGTCCTTGAAGTCTTCTTTATATGCGAGTTGAAGGTCATATCCTGGTCGAAGAGAACTCCCAGATTCCTGATGGTGCTGCTGGGTATCAGAGCAATTCCATCCATAAAAACTGTATCACGTGACAGCTGGCTTCGAAGGCGCTCTGGGCCTATCAGGATAACTTCCGTTTTTTCTGAGTTTAGCATCAGGAAGTTGCCGGTCGTCCAAGTTTTGATGTCTCCAAGACATTCTTGAAGTCTAACTAACTGCTCCGTCTCTTCTGGCTTGATCGACAGATACAGTTGAGTATCGTCTGCATAACAATGGAAGTTTATGCGGTGTTTCCTGATAAGATCGCCCAAAGGAAGCATATAGAGGGTAAATAAGATCGGTCCAAGTACAGAACCTTGTGGGACTCCGTGACCAACATTGGTGGTCTTTGAGGATTCACCGTTTACAAGCACAAACTGGGATCGGTCCGATAGGTAGGATTTAAACCAGCTGAGTGCAGTTCCTTTGATACCAATTAAATGTTCTAGTCTCTGCAACAGGATACAATGGTCTATGGTATCAAATGCGGCACTGAGGTCCAGCAAGACAAGAAAAGAGATGAGTCCTTGGTCCGATGCAAGTAAAAGATCATTCGTAATTTTCACCAGTGCTGTTTCTGTACTGTGATGCACTCGAAATCCTGCATACAATAAGTGCGTACAACTTAACACTCACTTTCAAAAGCAGTCATTGAACCCCACCCTGGGGGATCGATCCGAATGAGACTACAACACTAGTCCTCCTTTAACTCAGCGGGGGAGACCTAAGGTCATGTGACCGTGGAATTCCTTTATAGCCAAACGTGAAGTTACGTGAATCGAAGCTGCGTAGTAATGAACGGAGACGCTCGTCGGTGACGTCAGATGCTTCATGTGTTGTTAGTGTGAGTCGTAAAGGAAAACTTTATTAAACGAGCGATGCTAACGGTTAGTCACATGATCACCTGCGCGAAAGAGGGCAGGAAACTGAATTTCACCCTCCTGCTCTCTGCACCTCGGCCGACACACACGACCCGCCCCCCATGTCAGTCACATGCATGCCACGTTCACTGGACAAGCACACAGTAGGAAACCAGAACATCATAACATGTCCCACACAGCAGCTGACTGTGGGGTTACAGTATAAAACTTGCGGGCCGCACTAACATTACACTTTCATATTGAGGATGGGGCCACAAAATATCGTCCCGAGGGCCGCAATTGGCCCGCGGGCCGCGAGTTTGAGACCCCTGCTGTAGATACACGCTCTACAACATCAGGAGAATACGTCCCCTTCTCACTCAGAAGGCAGCGCAGGTACTGATTCAGGCTCTTGTCATCTCCCGCCTGGACTACTGCAACTCGCTCCTGGCAGGTCTCCCTGCCACCGCCATTCGACCTCTGCAGCTCATTCAGAATGCAGCAGCTCGACTGGTCTTCAACCCTCCGAAATTCTCCCACACTACTCCACTCCTCCGCTCTCTTCACTGGCTACCGGTGGCCGCCCGCATCCAGTTCAAAACATTGGTGCTCACGTACCATGCTGTGAATGGATCGGGTCCAGCTTACATCCAGGACATGGTCAAACCCTACATCCCAACCCGCACTCTCCGCTCTGCATCTGCAAAACTACTCGTCCCTCCCTCACTGAGAGCAAAACACTCGACTAGATCTCCACTCTTCGCTGTCCTTGCGCCGAAATGGTGGAACGAGCTCTCTGAAGACACCAGTACCGCAGAGAGCCTTCACATCTTCCGCCGCAAACTAAAGACACACCTCTTCAGACTCTACCTCGACTAAAGACTAACAAATTGTAGCACTTAAATTGTACTTGTAACGTCACTCATCTACAGCAAATTGTAAATTGGCTTATTTGAGGAAAATGCACTTTCTTGTTTCTTGTTCTCCTGAGTTTGTACCCTATGGTTGAATGCGCTTATTGTACGTCGCTTTGGATAAAAGCGTCCGCTAAATGACATGTAATGTAATGGATGAGTCTTTATTGTCAAAGAGGAACTCCTTCAGGGGGAACCAGCAGCAAGAGCGTCCCCACGCTGACATCTTCACCAACAGATGTTGAGGACTTCTGCTCGGTGGATGACTCGCAGATTCTGCTCAAGACAAAGAAGCTTCCTGTTTCCATCTGTTCATGAGAAACTTGCATTAATAAGAGAAGAACAACATGGACTTGTGGCCTAAACTCATAAACATACAAACTCTCAAAGTTTAATCCGTTAAAAAAGGTCATTTCAGATCAATAAAACAACAACAAAAGTGTGTAGATGAACACTTTGTGAATACTGATCATTTTGAAGAGATCTCTGTTCTAGCGCCACCATGAGGTCAAAAGACGGCACTAAAGGCCCAAACACAAACCCAGGACACGCGTTGATTGTTTCTCTGTACACGGTGACGCATCACTAGCGGGTAACAGGTGGAATTTGGGAACATTTCAATAGTTTGACATCACACCTGTTTGTATCATACATTATAATTGAGGAATGGATCCATTCAGAACGGCTCTGCTCTTTGAGTCTGATCTTCATTTAGTATTTGGTGCGTTTTTACTGGGTGTCCATTAGACGCTGGAAGCGGCTGAATGTCGAACTTCCTCTTCTTTGTCTTCAGAAGCGTCTGCTGGGCGGAACCCGTGAGCTCACATCTCACCAACAAACCTTCTTCAACGTCTTCCTCATTTCTGAGAAAGTTCAAAAGAAGAACCTCCCTGAGGGAACGCTCCTCTTTATGAACGCTGCTTCCTCCCGACCGTCTTCACTGCAGCAACACGTGAAGAAGAAGAAGAAGAAGAAGAAGAAGAAGAAGAAGAAGAAGAAGAAGAAGAAGAAGAAGAAGAAGAACTCACCTTTCTACCAGACAGGAACAATCCAACATCAAAGATCAGTGGTAAATATGTGGATTTCTTAAAGGAGATATGTTCCTATTTCAGTGGAATAATGATTTTGTGTCCAGATGGCGAAGCTGTGGCTGATGGCCGTGCTGCTGCTGTTGTCTGCGTCTGTTGGGAGTTCTATGTACCGTCCCGAAAAGTGAGTAAACATCCCCGACTGCTCGTTGTCTTTTCCTGTTGACTCATTTCCAATTAGCCAATATTAAATGATATAATAATAAATGATATATAACTTAAGTTCTTTTATTACATACGCATCAATACATGAGTCTTTTATGAGGAGCAGCATGATGCTTAATGCAGCGTGTGTTCAGCAGCGAAGTAACGGTGTTTAGCACAAAAGAGGACTTTTCAGTCTGTGCAGACTGTGTGTTTCCTTTGAATCAAAGTCAAAGAAAAAACGCTTTGAGTGACGCAGGTTGAGCAGTTACACAATGACACATTGCGAGAGAAATCCACCTTCCACAGGGTGCAGATGTTGCACTTCGTCCTGCACCAACTCTGTGTAATACTTTATGTGGTACTTCAGGCTTGTAGTACTCTGGTGACAGGGTTTTTGCTGGAATCGCCGTCTGGTAGATATTTCTAATGAAAACATCCATTTAATAGTGCAGTGCCTTCATTTTCCATTTAAGTGTTAAGACCCTCCCAGTGGTAAAAAAAGAAATGCTGTTGAACTAATTGCCGGCGTTGGCGCGTTTATAAATTCATAACGCGTTAATGTGCCGAGCCCAGAAAAATACTTGAAGCTCTGAAAACATCTAAATATATTGTTTATGTTGTGAATTTTTCTGTTTCTTCAAATAACTCTCTGGGCCTGTTGCTGTCTGTTGGGAGCAGTCAGGCTCGTTTTAAAAGACCAGACGAGACCCAAATTGCACAAATCGTCAATGACCTCTGGAACAGGTGAGTCAGCTGGTGTTAAATAACAGACCAACTGTGATTGGCTCGTTGAATCACATGTTTTCTGTATTTCATTGAGGGTCAGAAGGCACTGAGAGCTTTTAATGATACGTCCCCTTTAAAAAGCAGCTCTCTTTAACCTTTATTTAGTTCAGTTTACCCTTATTGAATGTGTATTATATGTATTATTTTAATTTCATGTCTGATTTTACATCATATTTCATCTTTTATTGTTGTAAAAAACATTCTGATGTCTGCACTTAAAATAATTATAATTAAATAATTAAATGACTTGTATTTCTATTATCTGACTTCAATCTGTTATTTACTTCAATGTTATTTATTCATAGTAAAAACAAAAATTAGCCTTTGAGTCGTTTCACAGTTTGAAACAATTCAATGTATCTTATTGAAAAACTTTTATCTGTCTCTCTTTTACATTTTGCATGCTTTTGCATTTTCCAATAAAAAGGTATTATTCATTCTATTATTTAGTTGAATGTTGCTAGATATGCATATTAAAAACGAAAATAAACTATACCACAACCCACATTTTTGCAGAATCCCGTAGATGAATTATTTCCATGGATGAGAAACTTGCAATGTGACATGTTTTTATATCTGCTTAACTTATTGTCATAGTTAAATAGAAATACAATTCTTCCAAACAAACAAAAAACATGTAACTATGACAAACAATAGTGAAGCCGCAGAATTGCAAGAAAACTGACTTGTGAAATGAATCTACTGATTAGAATAAATATTAAAACGCGCTGCTCTGATCTTCTCTTCTGTTTCAAACACGTCAGTGACATTTTTTTCTGTTTTCATCTGGCATGTATCGACCGTCCTACCAATCAAGATTCCAAACTATATGGAAAAACTATCCAAGGTCAGTAGGTGATGAAGTAAACATTTCTCAGGAAGTACTTTTCAAGATAAAAGCTCAAATGTTCTTTGTAGAGGAATGACTGATAACGAGTAATAAGCACGCAGGCTGTTTGTCTCCAGGGTTTTGCACATCAAGATAATGTTGCTAAAAAAGTCCTGGACGAACAATTGAGTTCTGACTTTCTATATATGATCTAAAATAGAGGAGATAACAGCTGTGCAGTAACACGTGACTGAAGTCTACAGTTTGTTAACGTGCTGCTGTAATGACGTCTGCCTCTCGTCTGGTGTCTCTGTTCCCTTTTACAGGAGATACCCCATGTTCAGTCTGGCTGTGAAGATCCCGTACAACGACAAGATGCAACAGTACGACGTCAGCGGAGTCAAGGACAAAGCCGAGAATGTGTGGGGAACGATAATGGGATGTGACGTCTACGCGAGCAAGACGATGGTCGCTGCCACGGTTTTGAAGTGGGACAATGTTCTGAATCAGTGTCCTAATGCACTGGTACCATGGCAGGATGTTCTAAATCAATGTCCAAAAAAAAGGATGACGTGGGCCCAGGTCAACAAAGAATGCAGTCATGCAGTTACAGTTGGGAGAGCCGATCACGCAGAGTACCGCGTTCTGAACAACTTCAACACCTTGACGGAGAATCTCAACAGAAATGATTTCTTGCTTTTCTACGTTCTTACTTCCCCGTGTGATCAGAAATGTTTATCCAAAAGCAGTCCCTTTAATATTTTAGAGAGCATTGAGGTGATTAAGAAGTGGACAAACTACGCTGTTGTGTTTTCTAAAGTGTTTGCGCCTAAAGAAGGAGATCCGGTTCCCGTGGAGAACCTCAAAGGAGCCCTTAAGCTGCTCGGGAAAAAGGTCGAGCTGCAGAACATCCTCCGGTGTGACGGCTCGGTTCCGTGCACGAGTTGCTCCAGCGGCAATAATGTCATCACGCCCTTCTGTTACGACATCAACGAACCAAAACCCGCTGCCAGAGACAACCCGCCGTCCACTTCAGTCAATGTGCCTCCGGGTGGCAAAGCAAACCCCCCCTCAAAGACGGGTCAAAAGAAGAAGAACAACAACAACAATGAGAATCCGGGCGGTTCTACTAACGTTGATGAGGAAGGATGGCAGGATGCTGGTAAGCGCCGTGGCTGATGACACCTGATGAAGGTTCCCTCCTCACAAAGGTTCCTCCAGCTGCGTCATGGAGGCCTCTAGTAACCAGTGCAAGCGCACAACTTTAATGCTTTGTGAGACACACAGGGGGTTTTAATGTGGTTTCAGACTACAGATAGAAAGTGAGTGTGATGTAAACGAAGCTCAGTGTTTACTCGTGTCCCTCCCTCCCTGAAGTGTTGTTGAATCCTCTGGTCTTCTGCTCTTTCTGATTAAAGCTCGGCTCAGCATCACCTCGCATGTGTCTGCGTGTCCTTTCACAGTCTGGATCTTCTGTCGGGGACATTTTGTCTCTGTGCTCATTTGGCAGCTTTTAGACATCATCAGATGAAATAAAAGGTGTTGATATCTCCCAAACTCACACTGCAACTCATCCAGCACCCATCTGGTAACAAAGCATCACCTCCTGATGTGAAAGAAGCTACTTAATTAGGATTATTTGCTAGTTGAAACTTGACCTGGTGCTTTGTTTTACGCACACTTGAGTCATTTAACGCTTAATTTAAGAATATTGGCAGATCGGCTTACCTACAGTGATGGATGGATAACTATGAGTATAAATGCAAACACCGCCCCCTCCTGGCAGGAATGGGACACTGAAGACTCATGTTGGAGAAAGTAGTCGTATCAGCTGTATTAAGAACACACGTGTCCATGAGATCAAGAGGAAAACTGCACTCAATCATATTTAAGTGGGTTAACTAGTGAATTATTGACTCAGACTGATGCCGATCATATTGATCATACCTGTACATCTTGCTCTCCTCATCCTGCTCAGGTGAGTCAACTGAGTTTAATTAGCTTCATGGTCTAATGGGGTCGGGTTGGTAACTGCATCTTGCTCATGAGGCCGCCTGTAGCAGCACCACCTCCTTCTGGAGCAGACCAGTATTGCCTGATCGGTAAGCGATTTCAAATCATCAGTTTATATCATTTAGGTGTTTATTATTCCATTCATTTGATTTCATCCTAAATCCCAGGGACTTTTGGCTGGTTTGAGCAGAACGTTGGTACAAAGTGCTCACGATCAAGGAACGCTGCCGGGTTTCATCCACCTACAGAGTCTGGAGCTGCTCTTACAGCATCACTGGGGTTTTAACAGAGAATTGTGTTTTAGTTTGAGACACTTTACAGTGTTTTCTGACGGGATGTTAAGGGCCACTCTAGCGTTTGATTTATGCTAAAGTGGTTAACTGATCTCCCCCCCCCTTACGCATCAGGAGTTATTTTGCTTGTCCTGTGTTCTTTGATCCTTTCGTTAATCGCGCTCCTCTTCCCCGGCTGTCTCAGGTTTACCCCCTTCGGTGTGCCGTGCAGTTTAAAAAAATCTTTGTTTTAATAATGGCTGTGTTGGAGGCTTGCGTAGCTTTTGACACGAGTCTAGAAAAATGGGTCGACTCACGCAAGGGACACGCAAGGGACACGCAAGGGGCTCTTGCGTCTACGTGTCCTCGCGTCTCTCTGAAAACGCTGAAGCATAAACTAGTCTTAAGTACGGTGGCCCTGAGGTGCAAAACACAACGACATTAACTTCTTCCGGAAAGGGGAGGGCCTTATAGCAGGAAGCGGAGGACGGACCCTTCTGATTGGACAGATGGACTGTCTGTCTTTTAACTCACTTTTTTTTTTATTTTTTTTTTTTTAGGGTGGACGCTACGGGCGGCACGGCTCAGGGACCGGAGTCCGATTCCTTGGCGTGAGGAGCTGGATGTGTGGCGGGGGTGCGTGACCCTTGAGAGCCACGTATCATTTCCTGTTTAAAAGACACAGTCCGTCCTATCAGAAGGGTCCGTCCTCTGCTTAATTTCGTTGTGCGTTCCTATTTGCCGTTGTGTTTGGCACCTCAGGGCCACCGTACTTGAGACCTCGTGTTATTTAACACAAAGCTTACCTATAAATAAAACTGGACGCTGTTTAAAACTAGAAATTCACCTTTTTCTTAAAACAAAAGGGGGATAGAGCAAGGATCCGACCACCATAACAGCCGAGTCACGTGTTCTCCGCGGGTCTGACCCTGCAGGACACATCTATAGCAAATTGTAAATTGGCTTATTTGAGGAAATTGCACTTTCTTGTTTCTTGTTCTCCTGAGTTTGTGCCCTATGGTTGAACGCACTTATTGTACGTCGCTTTGGATAAAAGCGTCCGCTAAATGACATGTAATGTAATGGATGAGTCTTTATTGTCAAAGAGGAACTCCTTCAGGGGGAACCAGCAGCGAGAGCGTCCCCACCCTGACATCTTCACCAACAGATGTTGAGGACTTCTGCTCGGTGGATGACTCGCAGATTCTGCTCAAGACAAAGAAGCTTCCTGTTTCCATCTGTTCATGAGAAACTTGCATTAAAAAGAGAAGAACAACATGGACTTGTGGCCTAAACTCATAAACATACAAACTCTCAAAGTTTAATCCGTTAAAAAAGGTAATTTCAGATCAATAAAGCAACAACAAAAGTGTTGTAGATGAACACTTTGTCTGTGAATACTGATCATTTTGAAGAGATCTCTGTTCTAGCGCCACCATGAGGTCAAAAGACGGCCCAAACACAAACCCAGGACACGCGTTGATTGTTTCTCTGTACACGGTGACGCATCACTAGCGGGTAACAGGTGGAATTTGGGAACATTTCAATAGTTTGACATCACACCTGTTTGTATCACACATTATAATTGAGGAATGGATCCATTCACAACGGCTCTGCTCTTTGAGTCTGATCTTCATTTAGTATTTGGTGCGTTTTTACTGGGTGTCCATTAGACGCTGGAAGCGGCTGAATGTCGAACTTCCTCTTCTTTGTCTTCAGAAGCGTCTGCTGGGCGGAACCCGTGAGCTCACATCTCACCAACAAACCTTCTTCAACGTCTTCCTCATTTCTGACAAAGGTGAAAAGAAGAACCTCCCTGAGGGAACGCTCCTCTTTATAAACGCTGCTTCCTCCCGACCGTCTTCACTGCAGCAACACGTGAAGAAGAAGAAGAAGAAGAAGAAGAAGAAGAAGAAGAAGAAGAAGAAGAAGAAGAAGAAGAAGAACTCACCTTTCTACCAGACAGGAACAATCCAACAGCAAAGATTAGTGGTAAATATGTGGATTTCTTAAAGGAGATATGTTCCTATTTCATTGGAATAATGATTTTTATTTGATTAGCGTGATGATTAGCATGATTGACATTTGTGGTCCTACATACATGTATTCTACTTTGGCAGTTTAGTGGACGTTTTAAGATATAAAAGTTATCAATAAAACAAAATAGACAAAGCAGTAATTTGCCTCCAACAACGTATTTGAAAATATTCCCTCAATCATGAAGCTTCATGTTGTGTCCAGATGGCGAAGCTGTGGCTGGTGGCCGTGCTGCTGCTGTTGTCTGCGTCTGTTGGGAGTTCTGTGGACCGTCTAGTGAACCGTCCCAATAAGTGAGTAAACATCCCCGACTGCTCGTTGTCTTTTCACGTTGACTCATTTCCAATTAGCCAATATTAAATGATATAATAATAAATGATATATAACTTAAGTTCTTTCATCACATACGCATCAATACATGAGTCTTTTATGAGGAGCAGCATGATGCTTAATGCAGCGTGTGTTCAGCAGCGAAGTAACGGTGTTTAGCACAAAAGAGGACTTTTCAGTCTGTGCAGACTGTGTGTTTCCTTTGAATCAAAGTCAAAGAAAAAACGCTTTGAGTGACGCAGGTTGAGCAGTTACACAATGACACGATCAACGTTTCCATCCATTCCTCTGACTTTACGTTCTCTCACTCCTCTGCACCAAGCCAGTTGGTATTTTACCTCTTCTCTTCTTCTGAACAATACGACCTGCGAGAGAAATCCACCTTCCACAGGGTGCAGATGTTGCACTTTGTGCTGCACCAACTCTGTGTAATACTTTATGTGGTACTTCAGGCTTGTAGTACTGTGGTGACAGGGTTTTTGCTGGAATCGCCGTCTGGTAGATATTTCTAATGAAAACATCCATTTAATAGTGCAGTACCTTCATTTTCCATTTAAGTGTACGACCCTCCTAGTGTAAAAAAGAATGCTGTTGACTATTGTCGCATGACGCGTTATCACTCATACGGTATGTGCGAGCCAGAAAATACTGAGCTCTGAAACATCTAATATTATGTTTATGTTGTGAATTTTCTGTTCTCAAATAACTCTCTGGCCTGTTGCTGTCTGTGGGAGCGGCTCGTTTTAAAAGACCAGACGAGGCCCAAATTGCACGAATCGTGAATGACCTCCGGAACAGGTGAGTCAGCTGGTGTTAAATAACAGACCAACTGTGATTGGCTCGTTGAATCACATGATTTCTGTATTTCATTGAGGGTCATTAGGCACTGAGAGCTTTTAATGATACGTCCCCTTTAAAAAGCAGCTCTCTTTAACCTTTATTTAGTTCAGTTTACCCTTATTGAATGTGTATTATATGTATTATTTTAATTTCATGTCTGATTTTATATCATATTTCATCTTTTATTGTTGTAAAAAACATTCTGATGTCTGCACTTAAAATAATTATAATTAAATAATTAAATGACTTGTATTTCTATTATCTGACTTCAATCTGTTATTTACTTCAATGTTATTTATTCATAGTAAAAACAAAAATTAGCCTTTGAGTCGTTTCACAGTTTGAAACAACGTATCTTATTGAAAAACTTTTATCTGTCTCTCTTTTACATTTTGCATGCTTTTGCATTTTCCAATAAAAAGGTATTATTCATTCTATTATTTAGTTGAATGTTGCTAGATATGCACATTAAAAACTAAAATAAACTATACCACAACCCACATTTTTGCAGAATCCCGTAGATGAATTATTTCCATGGATGAGAAACTTGCAATGTGACATGTTTTTATATCTGCTTAACGTATTGTCATAGTTAAATAGAAATACAATTCTTCCAAACAAACAAAAAACATGTAACTACAAACAATAGTGAAGCCGCAGAATTGCAAGAAAACTGACTTGTGAAATGAATCTACTGATTAGAATAAATATTAAAACGCGCTGCTCTGATCTTCTCTTCTGTTTCAAACACGTCAGTGACATTTTGTTCTGTTTTCATCTGGCATGTATCGACCGTCCTACCAATCAAGATTCCAAACTATATGGAAAAACTATCCAAGGTCAGTAGGTGATGAAGTAAACATTTCTCAGGAAGTACTTTTCAAGATAAAAGCTCAAATGTTCTTTGTAGAGGAATGACTGATAACGAGTAATAAGCACGCAGGCTGTTTGTCTCCAGGGTTTTGCACATCAAGATAATGTTGCTAAAAAAGTCCTGGACGAACATTTGAGTTCTGACTTTCTATATATGATCTAAAATAGAGGAGATAACAGCTGTGCAGTAACACGTGACTGAAGTCTACAGTTTGTTAACGTGCTGCTGTAATGACGTCTGCCTCTTGTCTGGTGTCTCTGTTCCCTTTTGCAGCGGATACCCCATGTTCAGTCTGGCTGTGACGATCCCGTACAACGAGGACATGCAACGGTACGACGTCAGCGGAGTCACTGACGACACCGAGACTGTGTGGAGAACGATCATAGGATGTGACGTCTACGCGAGCGAGACGATGGTCGCTGCCACGGTTTTGAAGTGGGACAATGTTCTGGATCAGTGTCCTAATGCACTGGTACCACGGAAGGGAGTTCTCAGAGAATGTCAAAGTAAAGGTATGACGTGGGCCGAGCTCAAGAGAGAATGCCCTCATGCATTTACAGTTGGGAGAGTCGATCACGCAGAGTACCGCGTTCTGAACAACTTCAACACCTTGAAGCAGAATCGCGACAAAAATGATTTCTTGCTTTTCTACGTTCTTGCTTCCCCGTGTGATCAGAAATGTGCTTCCAAGACGAGTCCTTTTAGTATTTTGAAAAAAATCCATGTGATTAAGGAATGGAGAAAGTACGCTGTTGTGTTTTCTAAAGTGTTTAAGCCTAAAGAAGGAGATCCGGTTCCCCCGAAGAACCTCAGAGAAGCCCTTAAGCGGCTCGGGAAAAAGGTCGGGCTGCAGAACATCCTCCGATGTGACGGCTCGGTTCCGTGCACGAGATGCTCCAGCGGCAATGATGTCACACGCTACTGTTACGACATCAACGCACCAAAACCCGCTGCCAGAGACAACGCGCCGTCCACTTCAGTCAATGTGCCTCCGGGTGGCAAAGCAAACCCCCCCTCAAAGACGGGTCAAAAGAAGAAGAACAACAACAACAATGAGAATCCAGGCGGTTCTACTAACGTTGATGAGGGAGGATGGCGGCCTGCTGTCCAGCGCCGTGGCTGATGACACCTGATGAAGGTTCCCTCCTCACAAAGGTTCCTCCAGCTGCGTCATGGAGGCCTCTAGTAACCAGTGCAAGCGCACAACTTTAATGCTTTGTGAGACACACAGGGGGTTTTAATGTGGGTTCAGACTACAGATAGAAAGTGAGTGTGATGTAAACGAAGCTCAGTGTTTACTCGTGTCCCTCCCTCCCTGAAGTGTTGTTGAATCCTCTGGTCTTCTGCTCTTTCTGATTAAAGCTCGGCTCAGCATCACCTCGCATGTGTCTGCGTGTCCTTTCACAGTCTGGATCTTCTGTCGGGGACATTTCGTCTCTGTGCTCATTTGGCAGCTTTTAGACATCATCAGATGAAATAAAAGGTGTTGATATCGCCCAAACTCACACTGCAACTCATCCAGCACCCATCTGGTAACATCCCAGTCTGATTCAATGCAAAAAGAAAGGTTATCAAACACGAATTATTACTTTGCGGTTAAATATAACGTGTATTCCAACAGTTTGACATAACAAGGACGTCTTATCCAAACAGTTTAATGTATATATATATATATATATATACATATATATCATCTCCCCGCATATATAGAGGGTTACATTATTGAGCAATAATGTACAGTTGCTGTTCACATTGACCCGAGCGCTCCGTATCACTGCGCACTCAAAGTAGCAGCTTAGATAGTTGACATTTCAGCTTTCAGCTCGCTGGCGATCAGGAAACACCACAAACGATCCGTTTTAGTCAATGAGAGCTTTCGCAACCGGACAATTCAGGTGGACGTCATCAGCGATGTGAATGAGATGGTGAGACCCGATGCTGCTAACGTGCACGTACAAGGTTCTCTAGAGTACTGAAACGCGATACACAACGTTTGGTGTATAATACTAGTTTGTGCAAAGGCAGCTATTTACTTATTATATTTTCGCTGGTAACCGTATAAAAGCAATAATGTACTTGAGGCAGTACTTTATCTTCAATAATGTAACTGTTCCATAACAACCAACAACGACCCAGAACTGTTATATATATATATATATATATATATATATATATATATATATATATATATATATATATATATAAAACAATATTCAGAATATGGTAATTACCATATCATAACTAATATATATATATATATAATATAATGAATATTTTAAAGGATAAATATATTACAATATAATATCTTATTATTCATTTATTTATTTATAAATGTTTCCTGATTCCTGATTTTCTATAATACTTAAAATCTTAATTTACAAACATTACCCGGTACATAATCCACGTTTCAAAAAGACAAACATTGACTATTTGTAAAATGTTTTGAATATAATAAACAACAACAAATAAATATGTGTATATTCTTTTTTCCGCACCGCTCACGGTGGGGCCGCGCCCCGTTGAGGCCTCCATGCTGGAGGAACCTTTGTGAGGAGGGAACCTTCATTAGCCGTTAATCCCCTTGAGCCGGCCAGCGGTCTTCAATCCATCGTCAACACCCGTAGGAACGCGCTGCTGTTGATGAGGCGGAATTAGTGAAGAGGACGGCGCTTTGCGGCGGGGTTTTCGGTCGTTGCAGCAGGTCGTGACATCAACTCGTGCGGCCTGTAGTCGTCGCATCGGAGGACGTTCTGCAGCCAGAACACAGATCACATGATCACAGGAATGAGAGAAACAGGCTGGATACGAGAGTCGATCCACACAATTGTATCGGTGTGGATTTATTCCAATTCTGAAATAAAACTTTCAAAGCAAACAGATTAACAGCCCATTTAATTGCTCATTCTTATTTAAAATTAAATACAATTACAAAGGAAGCTCCACTAGTTTTTCATACATGTTTTTCTAAAGAATTGTATTTGTATTTAACTATGACAATACGTTAACCGGATATCAAACATGTCAGAAGGTTTCTTATCTGTAGAAATAATAAATATGTTATGCAAGGTAATGCAACAATGAGGGTTGTCATATAGTTTATTTTAGTTTTTAATATCCATACCTAAAAACTTCAACTAACAGAATGAATCCAGATAACTTTTTTTAAAGTTTTAAAAAGCTGTTTCAAGATACGTGGAATTGTTTCACGAACTAACACGACAAAAAGGCAATTTTGAATAAATAACTAACAAGAGATTGAGGTCAAATACAAATAAACGTGTTTTAATTAATTAATCACTTTAAAATGCAGGCTTTATAATTGTGATGGGTGGAGCTTCCCCCTCCCTCTACCTGTTTGGCCACACCCCTCTAATTAGAGATTCGCTACAGGTGAGACCCGAATACTTCCTGGTTTCTTTTAAATGGCCCCAGGTTCTCCCAGCTCCACACACGGCCTCAGGAATGACTGCAGCTAGTCAAGGTGCAGCGCTGAGCGCTAAAGGGGACCAGTCATAGAGCTCCCACCCCACCGGTGCAGCACCCACCATGCGCGGCTGCACAGAGTGCAATTCCCAGGTATGTCTGTTTTTAGCTGGGGTTTTTTATTAGTTTTGGTTAAATATGCTCCATAGCGGTGCCACGATGTTCAGTGGCATTTTAAATTGTGTATGACTTTTTTTTTTGGAACAGGAACGGGGAAGTGATGTCTGCTTCTGGTGGTAGCTGAGCTCTAGCCACTGCTGTCTTTGCCCCCCTTCTCCGAATGTTTGTATTTATGGTTACCTTGTTTATGAATTGAGTTCTTCTTTTCCTTCAGGTGTTCACGTGTTGCTGCAGTGAAGACGGTCGGGGGGAAGCAGCGTTCATAAAGAGGAGCGTTCCCTCAGGGAGGTTCTTCTTTTCAACTTTCTCAGAAATGAGGAAGACGTTGAAGAAGGTTTCTTGGTGAGATGTGAGTTCACGGGTTCCGCCCAGCAGACGCTTCTGAAGACAAAGAAGAGGAAGTTTGACATTCAGCCGCTTCCAGCGTCTAATGGACACCCAGTAAAAACGCACCAAATACTAAATGAAGATCAGACTCCAAGAGCAGAGCCGTTGTGAATGGATCCATTCCTCAATTATAATGGATGATACAAACAGGTGTGATGTCAAACTAATGAAATGTTCCCAAATTCCACCTGTTACCCGCTAGTGATGCGTCACCGTGTACAGAGAAACAATCAACGCGTGTCCTGGGTTTGTGTTTGGGCCTTTAGTGCCGTCTTTTGACCTCATGGTGGCGCTAGAACAGAGATCTCTTCAAAATGATCAGTATTCACAGACAAAATGTTCATCTACAACACTTTTGTTGTTTTATTGATCTGAAATTACCTTTTTTAACGGATTAAACTTTGAGAGTTTGTATGTTTTATGAGTTTAGGCCACAAGTCCATGTTGTTCTTCTCTTATTAATGCAAGTTTCTCATGAACAGATGGAAACAGGAAGCTTCTTTGTCTTGAGCAGAATCTGCGAGTCATCCACCGAGCAGAAGTCATCAACATCTGTTGGCAAAGCTGTCGTGGGGACGCTCTCGCTGCTGGTTCCCCCTGAAGGAGTTCCTCTTTGACATTAAAGACTCATCCAAGTCATTTACATCTTAATCACATCTTAATGACGCATAATAAAGAATCCTCTTCAGGCCGAAGTCAAGCATGAGTGTTTTTAACTTGTTGTACCAAGAGCTTAAAAGACAATATTTTCTATTAGTCCCCTGATCACTTGGTGCGTATGGTGTTCATGACCTGAGCGGCCTCGTCAGCAAGATCGACGTGGTGCACTGGTGGTCCGGTAACGCCTTCGTGTTTTCCGAAGCCGACCGCGCCGCCGGATCCCTCCAGTGCCCCGCGGTCTCTAAACTGGGGCTCGACAATATCTTCCGCTGCTACGAACCCGCAGGCGAGGCGTTACGCTGCGACAGCTGCACTTTAGGCGCAGAGGGCGTGCAGGAGCATGAGCATGAACAAGGGCAGGAGCATGAGCATAAGCATGAGCAGGAGCATAAGCATGGGCAGGACCAGGAACAGGAGCAGAGGCAAGTGATGGGGGTGGAGGGACGCGGGTAACCACGTAAGGACCCCACAAAGCTTCCTGAGACAAACCAGCAGGGCTTTCTCAAGCCTTTAATAGATTTAGCGGCCTATTCGAGCCCTTGCAGCGCCTCTCTGCTGCCATTGCAAAGTATTCGGATTTATTTTCAACCTTAATCTAGTTAAACTGGTATCAGTGTTGATGACTAATGCTCTGATATACTGTAAGTCGCTGTACTTCTGTTCTGCTTCTCTGATTAAAGCTCATCTCAGCATCGACTGGTGTCCGTCATTTGGGAATATAAATGTAAGAATAGAAGAGAGCCCTATACTGGTAATGTGTAAGACAACATCTAATTGACTGCTGGGACACATTTAAGGGAGGGGGTCATTTTAATTGGGCCAGTAGATGTGTGTCTGTAGATGAAGTGCTGAAGTGAACACAATGTAAATTTAAGTTAGGACTTAAGAATGACGGGACACTCACAGTGTTGATCTTCTTCTTTCAGTCACTGTTGGTGGTTCAGTTGAACATTCATCCCTCCCCTCTTCTAAACACACACAGGTCCCTTCATCCACACAAGCATTTAACATCACAACATCTGAAGGGTTTTTTCAGTTGACAGGAAGTAGATGAAAAGGTAATTCAGCTGTCAGATGTGGACTCAAAGTTTCCATAGTACCATAGTAACTTGCGGAGATGCTAAGTGGACTGAATCGACATGACGTGGTGTCCACTGAGGCTTTTTACACTTTGCAGCAGTCAGTTGGCAATGTATCCTCGCTCAAGGTGATACACAATTTGCTACAGCCACTGTCCTAGTGAAGAGAGTGCTCCCGCTCCCCTCACTGTGAGGACCAGCTATTCGGCCCGTCTCCACGGTAGCAGAAGTGCTCCCGCTCAAGCTACCTGGTGGGACCCCGATATCTGCAGCCTGAGATCCTAGTGAAGAGAGTGCTCCCGCTCCCCTCTCACTGTAAGGACCGTCTATTTGGTCTGTTTCCACAGTAGCAGAAGCGCTCCCTCTCGAGCTAACTGGTGGGACCACGATATCTGCAGCCAAAGACCCTAGTGAAGCGAGTGCTCCCGCTCCCCTCTCACTGTAAGGACCAGTTATCTGGCCAGTTGCCACAATGGAAGAGCTGCTCTGGCTCGAGCCGACTGGTGGGACACTGATATCTGCAGCAAGTACCCTGGTGAGGAGTGTCCCCTCTCACTGAACGGATAGTGTCAGGGGGGCGGGTGGAAGGCAGGACTCAGATGCAGACTTCTCCGAAACAAGACTTTAATAGTTACTAGATCCGAAATCCAAAAGGCCAAGGGGCAAAAACACACAGGCATGAAACTACAGCTATCCACAACAGGAGACAAGAACATGCGTGACGAAAGACAATGACGCGACCAAGTGACACAAGAGACACACGGCTTAAATACACAAGGGAGATGCAGGTGATTGGACACAGGTGGAAACTATTAAGACGATCACAGGGGATGACGGGACAAGGCAGGAAGTGAAGTTACCCGGGGACACGAGTGGCAGAAAACTACAAAATACAACAGGAAGTGAACCACACCGTGACAGTACCCCCCCCTTAAGGGCCGAATTCCAGACGGCCAACACTAGAGCGAACAAGGGGCGGGGGGGGAGGGAAACCAGAGACGTTGGTCAGACCATCCGGGAAACTCTGGCGGGCGGCCCAGCGGGCGGCCAGACGAGCGGGGAGCCTCTGGGGGTCGGCCCGGCGGGTGGCCAGACGAGCGGGGAGCCTCTGGGGGTCGGCCCGGCGGGCGGTCACCAAGCCGGCTCCGGGACACGGGAAACCTCCGGGGTCGTCGGCGGTAGCTCGGGGACGCGGGAAACCTCCGGGGTAGTCGGCGGTAGCTCGGGGACACGGAACACCTCCGGGGTAGTCGCCGTCGGCTCAGGGACACGGAACACCTCCGCGGTTGTCGCCGTCGGCTCGGGGACACGGAACACCTCCGCGGTTGTCGCCGTCGGCTCGGGGACACGGAACACCTCCGCGGTTGTCGGCGGCAGCTCGGGGACAGGGAACACCTCCGC